AAAAATTGTAAGGCATAATCCCTCATCTCATGGAGTTTAAACCTCGTTTGGAAGATAATACAAACAAAAACATCTGTAGCACCATAATAAACTAAGTTATCCAGAATGTATTCTCTCTCTATATATATTCTAAATTCTATGTTCTTCACATACCTCTATGGTATAGTCTATAAACCAGTGATAACAGGACAATTGAAATAGGAGAGAACAAAGAGGTATAGTAAGAGGAAAGTAGATAAGCCTACCTAGACACGTGTGTGTGTGTGTGTATGCAGGTGTGTGTATGCAAGTGTGCACATGTGCACACACATGCATGTGTGTGTGTGTTTGTGGCATACCAGGGGCAGTTAATGTTTAATATGTTCCAAGTGCATTTCTGGTACAGAACAGTTGTCACTCCAATTTGTTTATTTTCTAAATTGAGATCTAGATATATATATTAGGTGTTCTTAAAGGAAGGAATTCCTATGGCCCTTGAGACATGAAATTTGAGGAAAAAGCTTTTGGGTCACTTAAAACAAGGAGTTGTGGAAGATTCTTTATAATCAATACTCTCCTTCTAAGTCCTAAATATCTTTAGAAGTTTCTATTCCACTTAGACCTTTCATTTACCATTCACTATGCAACATTTCTTGATTGCTGAAGATAAGATATATTATTCAATTTTCCAGTGAGAGACCATTTGCAATTGAAGGCAAAAGGTTTCTTTGATGAATTTAAATTTTGAATTTCCCAAGCTAAGGCTGATAACATATGAAATACTCTACTAAAACAGCTTTTCTTTGCTAATAGTTCCCAACTCAGGTCCGGAAAACCTTCAGTAAAAAACAGTTTATGATTCTGAGCACTATATTTTTATGAATGTCCATAATTTCAGCTTTATTTTATAAACCATTTTATATGAAGCATCAGTTGCTAGCATCCTTTTTTTTTTTTTTAAGCTTCTCCACAGGCCTAGAGTACTGGTAATAATATATACTAGCATCGAGATGCAAAGCACCTCACAAATGTGCCTTGGCATTCTTCTAGGTTGCTCACATAAAACTTAGTCATGTTTCACTATTGCCTTCATTTAAGAAATCTGCTTCCAGAATACTCATTCTGTTTGAACTTTCTGCATTAGGGTATATAAAAGACATCTTTTTAAGTAGCAATGGACAGAATGGTAATTAGTTCACTTATAATTACTGATCATATATTCCCCATTCACTCAGCTGAAAAACCAGAAAATTACCTCCCAAATCCACAAACTCCAAACAGTTGGAATATTTTAAACCTCTGAATCAATACAAATATGATGATGGTACCCCAACACAAAACAGTTTTCTCCCTTCTCTTTTAGGATAAAGTATTTTCTCTTATTCTGAAATGGCTCACAATTTTTAGAAGGGTAAGGATTTAGAGCTATCTGCACTCGAGAAACATCTTTGGGAGGAAGAAATTGCCTAATTTACTGGAGAGGTGAAGTTCATGATTAGATGGTCAGAAGTGCTGGGAAGCTTAAAGAGGCTCAAACCCAGAAAAAAAGGCAAAGAAGGCAGATATTTAGAGGAACTGGAAATCCTTCAAGTCTTGAGAGCAGTGCACATTTACCCAAGTGTTTGGAGGGGGTGTTACAGGAGAGTTTGTTTCCATACATGTTCTTGTGGGCCCCATTGGAGAAGGATGGCCTGGGCATCCTATTAGCAGTAAAATCATGACCAAACCTGTACTGAGCTTAGATAAGAGATCTGGACACCTTACATGCATCTGTTTCTGTTCTGTATTTGTTTTCTTTTCTCAAAGTTACCTAAGGTTTTTGGGGAAAGCCCTGACTTTAGAGGAGCAAGAATAATCAGAATGGCCAATGGTTGAAGTAGCTGGAGAGGACCCAGGACTACAGATCCAGGCAAACCTGCCAGGGCAGGCCAGCACAGGGGGCAGGGGGGGACGTAAAGAGAGCAGGCTGGGGGCAGCTCACACGTGGGAGCTTTCCTGAGCAAACACTATAATCTAGTGACTGAGAAATGATGCCTTTCTTTCTGTAGGGTGGAGCTTGCAGGGCCACGCAGGTAAACGGGAACTGGCAGCCCATTTGCAGCTTTCTGCCTGAACACTCAGCCTCACCTGGTTACTCATCTGACCCGCGCAGGGGTGTGGGTAGTGTCCTGTGCCATAGTTCTGCCCAGCTGTGGCTAGTTCTTCTCTCTCCTTACAAAGGGACATCTTGAAGATCAGGCTCTGTGACTTGTGAGAGTAAAGGCTGGATCTTAAAATACCAAGTTCAAGTGTGGTTGACAAGTAATAGTGTGAAGCCAGGGTGGGGGGCTGAGGGAGTGGGTGAGCTACTTTTGCAAGGCCTAGCTTCTGAAGGCCTGGAGCCTAGGTTCATTATTATTTGAGTTCCTTGCTAGAATTTCATAGTTCTGGATACTTTTCACTCATGCAAGAGGCCCACTGCTTATGGGATCCCACTTTATCATCAATGTCTGACTCACTCTTAACTACTGAAACCTCTTTCTCCTAGTTTTCACTTCACTTACAAGTAGAGACTTTCTCCTCTTATCAGTCTGTTTACCATGTACGTTGGCCCCAGGATTAAACTGTATGGCTTAAATCTTAAAATACGGTGGACTTTTCCAGGTAAAGTGCACCTTGCAACCTTCTACCCATCAGATTTTGGCAAAAATAAATCTCAAAAAATGATCAAAATTCAAAGGAAAAAGAAAACAGATGCAACCTCTCAGTGTGTCCCCAACCCCAAAGTGACCTTAACCACTGTGTGAGGCATATAAGTGAGGACATTTCATTTGAACTTAAACAGCAGTTTAAAGAATTGTTGAAAATATTCATGTTAAAGTAATACCTCAAGGGACTGAGTATCATGGAGGTCTATAGTCAGTGAACGTATTTGGTTGCCAAGTCTGAGAGAGTTTATATCTTTTTTAGGTGAGGAGGGAGGTTCAGGAAGAATTCCTGGTTTTTTCCTTCTATATTTTTTGGACAGGAAAATATTCTTGAGAAACAACCCAGAATTTTGGAAGGAAGACAATATATTTTTCAAAAATCCAATTTACAGTCACCAAATTAAAAACCCAGACATTTATTTAACTGCTATTTCTGCTTCCAGAATTGTCCAGTGAAAAGTTGTAAACTGAGAATCTAACAGGAAATGTGCCAGTTCCTTGCCAGACCCAAACTCTTAACACTTGAAAAGATCTAGCATGTTGTAATATTTAACCTCATTAAAATGAAAGAAATATAAACATTCATGGGAACCTGGGTATCTTTCAACACCAATGCTTAGGCAGGAGGCCATCCGAAGAAATGGCACTTATGCAGTCTGAATATTTGCACCCTCCCAGTTCCTACCCTGAAACTTAATGCCCAATGTGATGGTCTCTGGATGTAGGGCCTTCAGGAGGTGATTAGGTCATAAGGGTGGAGCACTCATGAATGGGATTAGTGCCCTTATGAGACCCTCAAAGGGTTCCCTTGCCCTTTCCTTCTGCCATGAGAGCTCTAGGAAATGGGCTTTCACTGGACACTGAATCTGCTGGTGCCTGGATCTTGGACTTCCCAGCCTCCAGAACCATGAGAAATAAACGTTTATTGTTTAGAAGCTACTCAGTTTATGGTATTTTGTTATAGCAGCCTGAACAGACTATGAAACCCATATCCAGCACCTGTGTTCTGCTTCTCAGTCTAAGGCTCTGTGTGGCTTAGTAACTTACTGTATCCACATTACATTAAGGCCCCACTACCTTAATATAGGCTCTCTGCCTTCAAGACACAGCAGCTGTAAATGCTTGGTCACCTGTGTCCTGAGAATGAGATGGTACTCTTCATATTAAAGTACCTGGGTCTCGTCATCATTCTTGTACTCTTTTCCTGTCATACCTATTGCTGTACATCAGGGCACAACTAGATGAAAGAATGTGTCCATCCCTCCCTAGGGCAGGGGTGAAAGGCTATTTTTGGAAAAGCACTTACGTCATGTTTCAGTTCCTTTTTGTTATGATCCTCTTGCAGGAGGCCTCAGAGCACAGCCCTGCCCATCCCAATCCCTTTTCTAAAAAATCCTTGGATCAGATATGTTTGGAACTCAAAATTTGTTCAGATATGGTGTCCTTTGCATGTATTTCACAAAACTTCCAGTGGGGGCTGAGTTAGCCTCTCATAATCAAATACATGAATATTTCTGCAGTGAAATGTATGAATTTGCACAATACATAAAGACTGTAAATAGCCTCAGATCAGTTCAGAGAAAGCGTTGCCATCAAATAAGTTTTTGTGTAACATCTGCAAAGGAGCTTTCAGTTTTCTGGGCATTTTGGATTTTGAAATGTTGGGTAAGAGTATAGAACTGTATTGGGTCTTCAAAGAGTTAAGACAAATTATTTCAAGTATGTTAAGATAACAAGATCTCTTGGTACTTAAAAAAGATATGGGTCCTATTGCAAATAACCCAATGGAACCTTTCACAGGGATCTTTTAGGCACAGAGTTTGACCACATTAAACAGGATTTAATGTAAGTGGGCCATCCTTGTTCCTGGGCTTCTGTCAGATGAACTCAACATAGTCTGTCCTCCAGAGGGAGTCTGTGACAGTGCTGTTGTCATGGAATCTGAGTTGCCTCACAGTTCTGCAGGAAAAGGGTCTAGAAAGTGGGCAGATTTAACTGCTCTGAGACTCCCAGGAACATTCCCAGACTAGAATTAAAAACCTCAACTAGGCAAGAGTGTTGGAGCCAATTGGCATGCCTTCACTATGACTCCATAATAAAGTAATTACACAGTTTGATTTTTTTAAGGGTATAAAAACAAAACAAAACAAAAGCCTTTTACCTTAATGTAGGGAAAAATTCTTTTTAAAGCCTTAATCTCTGAAGTCGTAAAGTGGAGACTGGGAAGATTATACTCTGGGTGGTTGTGTTAGGGATTGTATGCTAGGGGATATGTAAGCTGTCTTTGAGATGAGGGGCTGCCGCCAGTGGAGACATATGGAGAGAAAGGCTTACTTGGCTTCCAGGGCCAGCGCAATGATGCCCGCAGCCATGGGGGCCGAAGCCGACGTCCCCGTGTGGTTGTCCGTGCAACGCTGCCTCAGATCTGTAGTGATCTAGAAGACACAAGAGAAACATTTAGGGCTCTGGGGTCAATGTGAGTCACATGTAAGTAGAAATTTACTCATAAAAGTGGAATGGAGGGGGTGTTGAAATAGTTATTTAAAATTTGTCATTCCTGCACTGCTGTGGCCATCTCACTTCCAGAGAATCACCTGTGTAAATCAACTTAGAAAAGGGACGGGTTTGGAAACCGGGCTCCATTTCTACTAAAACCAGGGTCAGAAGCAGGGGCCACCTTTGGCTTGAAACATAAAGGCTGTACAAGTGCCCCCTTCAATTTTATTTGAGACCCTCACAGACCTGAACCAGCTCTAGTTAACCCTAAAGATCTTTCACTACCTCAACATTTATAATAGCAGACATGTTGAGCCAACCAGCAGACACTGAGCTAAGCACTGGTAGGATATGGAGTGAAAGCACACAGGCTGGTCCCTCCCCACCCAGGACTGTGACTTTGGGAGAGCTGCCGGTCTTAGCATACACTTTGCCTCAGAAGAAACATTTACTTATGGACTTGTTTTTGGAATTGATAGAAATGTTGCATGGATAAACCAAGACTTCCTCGAAGATCTAACATGAGTACCAAAAATCAATGTTGAAAACAGTCCTTGATATGAAACTATGACATTAAGTGCAAGCAAAAATAAAAATAATCAAAATGTGATAATTAAATCTTATTTTCCCCCTCTTGGTTTGAATCCAGTTCATTTTAGCTGTAACTGAATAACATTCCCACCCGCATGGATGGTGCTTCTGAACCTTTATTTTATGATTTTGCTAAGGGGGGAAAAATGCAGATACTCCTTAACAAGAGAAATAAAATACTATGAGGTAAGAGTTTGCACACCACTGTACTAACTAAGAAGTATAAAACCCTTCCTCCCCAATAAGCATCCGTTTCTGTCCCCTTGGGGCCAATTCCACTCCTGTTGGGAAGGCACGCAGCTTGTGAGATGAGTTGGTGGCCCTCAGTTATTGGAAGCAATGGTAAAACTTTCTTTGGCATCAAGACAGGATTGTTACCCATATTTTACAGCAAAGAAAATGTTGGTGAAAGGTCATCAGAAAGGTGTAGGGGGATAGAGGCTGCTGGAAACAAAGTCCTGCTGTTCTAAGGTGCATCCTTCAAGAGGAGTATAAAGATTAGTTGATTTGAAAAGAAATTTAATCTTCACAGGTACAAAGTGCAGCCTACACCCTTAGAAATGAGTCCCTCTCTCCATGTGCTTAGTGTCATATGAAGATGACTCAGTGGATTAATTATTGGTTATGGATCTAGATTGACATTCGGTTGACTTAGTTTCACATAAGGTGGTCAGTTCTGCCTTCTGTTCCTTTTGATGCCTCTAATGGTCCCAGATTATCCACAGCAGGTAGGTCCTGATACACAAGAAGTGGAAGAATGAACAAAACTATATAGAACCATATAGATATGGTGGTAAGAGAGATGAGACAAGCCGTACAGTCTTTCCCTGAGTAACTGAATGGTGTGCAAGAGCCCTGGTGGTGGGCTTGGCAAGCAGTGATGGTTATTTCTTGATTAATAGACTTAATTAACTAGCCATCTTCTGGATCTCCACACTGGATGTTGGCAAGATGCCTGTGTAAATAGAGCCCTACCTGCTTCTATATTAAGAAACTTTCTGGATTTTTATTTGTTGACTTTAAAAAGCTATCTTCTTCTGTAACTGTGATGAAAAAACATATACCACAAATCTACCCTTTGAAAACTTCTAAGTGTATGGCGCAGTATTAACTATATGCACATGGCTATACAATAGATCTATAGAAGATTTTTTATTGTGCATGACCTTCCCTCCTGCCAGCCCCTGGTAACTACATTTTGTTTACTGCTTCCATGAGTGTGACTATGCTATGCACTTCACAGAAGTGGAAATACATGGCATTTGTCCTTTGGCAGCTGGCTTATTTCACTTAGAGTAACATCCCCAAGGCTCATCCATGTTGTAGCATGTGGCAGGGTTTCCTTCATCTTAGGCTGCATTATATTCCATTGTATGTATATACCACATTTTCTTTATTCATTCACCCATCAGTGGACATAGGGGGTGCTTTCAACTCTTGGCTACTGTGAATAATGCTGGAATGAACATGGGTATGCAAATCTCTCTTCAAAATCCTGCTTTTAGTCCTTTTGGATTTACACCCAGAAGTGGGACTGCTGGATCATGAGAAAGGTATTTCTACTTTCTTTGAAATTATGGGTAAATTTGCAGCCTTATTTTCCGAAGGCCTGGTCCATAGCTCAGTGTATAGACACCCCAGTAGTAGACTGTTTCCAGGTCTCCAGATATGCTATTGTGGAGACGGCCTGGCCTGCATTTTTCTTGTTTTACCTCACCTTCACGGACACATTCCTTTGCCAATTCTTATTTTTTTTCAATGACTTGTGCCTGGATTCAAGATTTTTCATGATGTCTTCCCACTTGGCTCACTTTGCTTATTCTTCAGCTACACCAGACACTTTTAATGCACAGAAACAAATCCAGGACAAACACGCCAAATGTGTGTAGCATTTTTGAGCCTAATAAATAATCACTTCCGGCCAACCTCAAACATGAACAATACAACTTTCATGATATCAGTTTGCAGTAGGAACACACCCCATCCATATGTAGTCACCAGGCATAGTCACACACCCTATATGCTCGAATAAAAAGCTACTTGGCATTTTATACATAGACACCAGTGAAGTGTTCAATGCTATTAATAAAGGAATTCCAAATCAGCACTGTGCTTTTACTTTTTTCAGTCACTTTAACTAAATGAAACTTGAGTAGTGAGAAGGGGTGGCAAGGAATTTGAACAGGAAGGTGGTAGAGGGTGAAAGGTTAAAAGGAATGAAGAGAAAAGAAACAAAAACATCCTCACTCCCTTCTCATCCTGCTGTAAGTGGAAATTCCAGCTGGGTCATTTCAAAAGGAAGTTACTGTCAGTGGTGGAGATATTTAGGTGTAAATTACGGGAAAGATCTAAGGCAGGATTTTCATCATTAAGAGAAGCCACAGTATTAGAGAATTTTTATGTCTATCTTTAGGAAGAAAAGTCAAAGACCACCAAGGAGCATGAATCTTGAGGAAAAATGATGTTCTAAAAACTGGAACCACATGGGGTATCTCCATTAATAACAAGACATGCATACAAGATCTGACAGTGTAATTTAAAGGGAAAGTTGCATACCGCAGTCAGCCCACATCATGGGGTGGATAGTCCAGAGATTCTACACGTGCAAACAGAACGATAAAGCCCTTTATGTTTAGAAAGAATGTCTCAGAATTGGGTTTCAATCCTGGTGGCACATCTTGCACGCTCCAAATTCCCTCCATTTACTACCTAAATCAGAAACAGAATTTTTCTCCACAGAACTTCTCAGATTGCTCAAGAAAGTATCGTTTCTGTTTATCAGAGTGAAGGAAACGGGAGATGACACCAGGCCCCTAGCCAGATCACAAAGTTAATCTGATCAGCAAATGAGATGTTCAGCCTGTTTCAGGATGGGTAGCAGATGGTTTCTTAGGCTCCACAAAGTTAGGGATGTCACCCCTATTTGGTTCAGAAGGGGTGGGTACTGTTCAGGTCCAGTCAGGCTTCCTTTGAGAAGAGCTATCACTTTTTCTCATCCTCTGTTCTTATTTCCCATTTCATTACTTGGGCTGATTGGACCCTTTATTCCAGCCTGATCATGCAATCCTCCTGGGAATCTCAGTTCAGATCAACTTTGGCCCTAAGTGACAAGCTTTTCTAGCAAATCCACAGAAAAGTGTTTTTATCTCCCTGATATCTTGTGATCAGTTTTTATTTTGAAGGTGCCATATTGTCTCAGATCTGTGAAAAGAGCAACTGAACAGATATTTTTAAAACATGAAATGATTCTGCTGTCTGTTAGGTTGAATTCATTTCTGGTGTTGATTTTGATTTGGATTAGAAATGTGCCAAAAAAGCTGTTTCAGACACAGCTATGGGGGAGAGGGGGAGAAAATAAATCTTAAATGTGTCAATGAATAAAATAGAAGAAGCTGATTTATTAAGCACGGTGAAATAAAAAGGAACTAAGGACCAATTAATGCTTCTTGTGTTCACCAAAGCCACCAAGATTGGTGTAAAATTCAATCATGCCCAACAAGTCCACACAAAATTCCACTCCCGTGTGACTACAAGAATGTGTAAATGTGAAGTACAAATGTGAGATTTTGCTTACAAATGTGAGGTTGCTATCAATAAAAAGGATCCATCTTTTACCATTTTTGCATCTCCATGCTCCATGTTCAGTTCCGTGCTAGGTACAGAGCAGAGGCTCAGTATTTACAGTTGACCCTTGAACAACAGGGTTTAAAATGCACAGGTCTACTTATACATGTGGCAAGAAACAAATTGGAAAGGTTTTTGGAGATGTACAACAACTTGAAAAAAAAATTTTTTCCTCTAGCTTTTATTGTAAGAATATAGTATATAGTATATATAACATACAAAATCTGTGTTCATTGACTATGCTTTGGGTAAGGCTTCCAGCCCATAGTGGGCTATTAGTAGTTAAGTTTTTTGGGGGAATAAAAAGTTAGATGTGGATTTTCAACTGCGCAGGGCTGCCAACTGTATGTGCTAAACTGAATTGCTAACATCAATCACCTTTATACTCATTTTGTTTTATACTCTATACTCGCCCACATATTAGGAAAGATGTCAAGGTCATTTCTTTACTGACTCTCCACAGAAAACTCACATGAACCTACAACAATTATGTGTGTATATATATATACATACAATCCAGTGGTTGAAGTACAGCTATTTCTCTCATAATTCCTATTACTATGATGAGCTGCACTGCTCCTAAAACTACCACCACAAGCAACTTGCAATGAATGAGACAACGTGCAATAGGTGTGTAGGTGTGCATGCTCACAGGTATGTATAAAAATACAGTTAAAGCCATGGGAACTCTGTAAGGAAGCTATGCTATTTTATTAGCTAAGGA